AAATAGTTTTTCAAAACCAGCCTTTAGGACTGACTGTCGGCAAACAATCCATTGTTTCGTGGTAAACAACCAGTGTATCTACACAAGTTGCCATAGTAACGAGTTCAGCCTCTGCTTGATGCCAAGAAGCTTGAGAGAGTGACTGTGATAGTGGAGAGAGTACTGAAAACTGGACATTTTCAGAACCAAATCAAGTCAATAATGTATTTTATACATTCATCCATTTATGATTTTTGAATGCTGTCACCATTAAATAAATATTGAATGTCACATGAGTGTAAATAAGTGAATTCATACACTGCTGTAAACAGTAATGCCCTGTTTGACTGAAGTCATGTCTCAAATATTGGGGAATGAATGTTTAGACCAAATTGCATTTCCAAAAATCTGAATTTAATTACACTTTAAACCTTCTTCCTGTAGATTTAAAAACTGCTATCAGAAATGCCCCAACTCTTAAGTTGTTTCAACAAATCGTTAAAAACTCATCATAAACTTATATTATTATTATATTTACTTTTTATTTTTACATAAGTACTTGTTTACTTTTATATTGTACTGTAGCACTTTGAGTGTGAGATGCCAATTATAAAAACTGCATTATTATTTTTCTATATGGAATTGTTTGGACTGCTGTTCAGACTTTCAATACAACAATAACAACAAGCATATGTTTGCTGCTTGTCTGAACAAAACCTAAAAAAGCCTGAATTGTCTTTTTGTGAATACATTTTTCTTGCTCTGTCCTCAGGCATCCTCGCTCTAACCCTTTTAAAGCTCTGAAGGTGGTGCTCATATCAGAAGATCATGTTGATTTGTGGACCTCTTTGCTTTCCATGGGTGGTGCAGCAAAAGTTCATCACCATAAAGAAAATGAAGACCTTTCTGGTGGGTAATTGTACACTTAGTTCAATGGAAAAATGTATAGAGTTTTAAAGATGCACAAATAACTTGTGACAAAGGGATTAGAAAACCATATTCGATAGTGTGATGTCAATTTTTGACAGACATTCCAAACATGAAGTTTGACCTGGCAGTGACATCATCTGCATGTCCGTCTGAGGAACTGAAACGACGTGTGGCCCCGGACATGCCTGTTGTCTCTCTGGAGTGGCTGATTCAGAGCTTGATCTGTGGAAAGTGCCTCAGCTATGACAGCGACTCTGAATTCTGTCACAACCCGTCTACGTGAACCGTCGTCCTCTGGTGTCTTCTCAGATGTATTTTAAATGTCCTCTGTGTTTTAGTGCATGCATTTTACTGTACATAGTTTTTATGAAATAAAATCGTTATTGTTTCACTTGTCTGTTTTATTTCATAACCGAGATTACAAAGCATATGGTATTTACAAATTTTAAGTGTTCACGTTCATGGAATAGTTTTACTTTTTTTAAATGGCATAAGATAGTTGAGATTGCAGAAAAAGCAGGACACAAACTGTGACAATGACAATAGTCCCATCTTACAATAATTTAAAGGAACACGCCACTATTTTTTAAAATAGGCTCGATTTCCTACTCCTCTAGAGTTAAACAGTTGAGTTTTACCGTTTTCGAATCCA